AGTTTTTCCCAGGTGGACCACAAGGTTGAACTCTTTTGAGTGATTATGAAGCACACAAGTCTTTGCGACTTTTGTGCTTTAATATAATCAGCACACTGACTTCATCCAACAGGTGCAATCATCTCTAGGTAATCCTTCCATAAAATGAGGGGTTTAGACTAGATAACTTATGAGGTCTCTTCCAGTTCTAAATCTTTGATGCTACGACTGTGCTATGCATCTTTCATGACAGTGGTATTGGTATCTATGTAATGTCAAAGAGATCTAGGAGAAGGCCTCCAGCATGCAGGGTGGGATGCCCTATGGAAGACTTAAAGGAAACCATGGATAAGAGTCACTCACTCAGACTGAGGAGACATGGATAGGATGCAATATGCACTGGTTGAGAGAATATCCACAAAAAGGTACAAAATTCCAAAGTAATAATAAATTTAAAATTATGTTCTTACATAGTGGGACACAATTTAATCATTTAACTTTCAAGATTAAAAAGAATTATCATGAACTTATGAACTGTCAACAAAAACAAATAATGAAATAAAATACAAATCAGAACATCGCGTGTAACTTATTATTAAACAATGTACAGCCAAATAAATTAAACACTGTTTCCATTATTGTCTCTACTTCTAAGCCCTTTTGAAATTCTATAATCATGAGTTTTTATTTTATTTTTATAAACCTAACTGCAGTCAACATATAGGTACTGGCACTAATGATCTCATTATGCATGGCTTTATATAAGGTACCTCTCTACTTGTCCCAGTATACTTCACATTTAATTCTAACACCATGAAATTACATTACATTAACATACCAAAAAGCATCCAGCTATTTTCCATTTGCTAGACATATAGGAGCTTTCCAATTTTTTGATACCCCAAACAAAGCAGTCATGAAAACTGTTTCCTTTTCTACAATGTTTTTTAGAATAAAGCCCTATCCACTGGGATCACTGGCTCAAAATAAACAACTGTGACTTATTGTACACTTGCATATTAAATGTATAAAATGTCCATGCCAGTCTGCAGGCCCAACAATGAGCACCCATTTCCCCACAGCCCACCCAACAAATCAAATATTCTTTGCTATTATAGTGTTCCAAGGCCATCTAGAACTGCATCTCTGATCATTAGAATTTAAGAATTTTTTCATGTAGTTAACCAGTTTGTATTTTCATCTTCGAAAAGTGTCTTGTCACATCCCTCAGTGCTCCACTGAGGAATGTATAATTAGTCTCACAGAAATATGTGTCAGTTCCTTACAGATTCCGGATTTTCTGGATTAACTGTTTCCAGTGAACAAACACATTGGTGAATTCTGCTTTTTAATCCATTCTGTGACTTCTTCATTTTATTGGAGAGCTTAATCCATTCTTATTTAGCATTATAAAATTGTTAGGTTTGTCTTTTCTTCAACCATTCTATAGAAAGGGAACATACATTTTCTTATTATTTAACATTAAACTTTTAAAAAGCACTTTAAACCAATTTCTTCAGTCTTATTAACAAAGTTTCTCTAACTCAGGGGTACCTTTGTCAGAAGCATGTTATTGAAACAGTGATTATCCAAAACAACAATGAGAGTTCAAATATAACATCAGCAACTAACTTGTCTTGATTTGAGAAGTGTAAATTATTTTAAATATTTATCCTTTTTTGGCTGAGATTTGACTGTTTTAAGATTTCCTTAAAGCCACAGGTTTCACTGTAAACTTTTCAAAGCCTCAATACTTCGCAAATGTTAATAACTCATAACTTAAGCAGTATACTAAGTTTTGCTGGGGAAATAATTCTGGCTTATTTTTGTATATAATTATATTCCAGTTTCTCTGACCATTCCTTATCCTCCATTATTTCCACTATGATTCTGATGTTTTCCATATTTTCCTTGTACTACAAAAATATTGTTTCCTTATTGTATTCTTGGAGTTTAAAAATCTTGGGACCTTCATTATTGTTCAACAGATTCTATTTTATTTTGCTGTATGATTTTGCTTTTTCTGAGAAATTTCCTATGAAGATTTAAGCGTTCATATTCTTTTTCTAAATTTTCTGTGATTTCACTAATTCCCAAATTGTCAACTTGTGAAGCATCCCTTAAGTTCGTCATTTGATTCTAAGAATTTTTCAAATCTTTTTTTGGAGCCAGTACATCCAATTGTTGAGTACTGTGCATAAATCGATAGTCAATTGATTTTTTGAGGTTTTTTATTGTGTGCTCCATTAATCTATTTTCTTCAGATTCTTCCCAATCTTTTTTTTGGGGGGGGTGGAGGGTATTTAAATTCTAAGTTGAGTCCCTATGTGACTTTTACTTTCTTCAACCTTTTATTGGTCATACAATTCTGTTGTAATAGAATATGTTAATATGTTAATCTTCTCAACGTCAAAAAATATGCTTATTTTTCTTATGTGTGGGTCTTCCTTGCATTTTTCTTCTCTTTGGTGCTTCTTATTTTTTAAAGGGTATGTGAGGAAACTGACTCCATTTAAATTCCATTTTGAGTTGGAAAGTGTACTCTCTAGTTTTAAAAACACTTCACTATAAAGTGGTGTGAAGTTGTATTTTTAAATTTAATCTTCAATGACAAGAGATAGCTCCCTTTAGCTCACTGAAATTGATGACTTGCAGAGAGAGTAGTCACCAAAAGATGATTTGAAAAAAAGTCTAAGCAAGATTTTATATTCAAACAACCTACAGTTCGGTTGTGAAACTATTCAAATTGAAAAACAGCAATGAAGCCTAAATTAACTGATGTACTCCAGAAACTTTCAAAAAGCAAAAGGGGAATAGAACTTTTACCAGTAGGTACCACCATATCCTTGTTTTGTCCCAGCCTATGATTAGGAATTCGGAGTGAGGAGTCTCCCACACCAAAGTAAACTGGAAACATTTTTCGATTTAAAAACTTGAGAGGTTCCTAGCAGGACTTAGAGGCAAGCACTTTACCCAGGGTCATTACGCAAGTATGTGTCAGAGATGGGTCTTGAACCCAGGTGCTCCAGACTTGAAGGCCAGCCATCATGCCATGCTTTCTCTCCATACATTTAAACAAGAAAAAGGGCAAGTACAAAAAAATTAAATCAGATCTTATAAGAAGTCCCCCGGACAACAAACAATATTAACAAAACACTTTGAAAAGTAAACAGCATATCTGTCTCTGAAAACAAAGTAGTATTTCTTATTAAATGCAAAATTAACCTATCAATTCTTGTTGATATGAAACTGGAGCTCAAGTATATAGTATTTCCAAGTAAAGTACTTCAAAATCCATTCATGGCAGTTCTTCAAAGAATAAGAATTGGCTAATAAATCTCTTAATGCCTTGTAAAAATTACATACCTGTTTTGCTGATGGGTAAACTAATAAGCACAAAGGAGTTATTCAGTGACTTTCTCAAGGTCACTCTCAAATGAAGAAACCCCCCCCCCATCAATGCTCCTTGAGGACAGAGACTGCCTTTTGCCTCCACTAGTATTTATTCCCTGATGCTTAACACAGTGCCTGGAAACGCTATCTGCCTCTGTCCGTATTTCTAGCACTCAGCACTAGTGCCCGGCACACAGTAGAGGCAAGTAATTGTCCACCGACTGATTTATGGAGGAAGAAAAAGACTCCTAACACTCAGTTCCCTACACTTCGGCCCCATCCACATGTGGCGCGCGCACACACCTGTGGGCCACAGGAGCAAGGCGGCTGTACTGGCCTCCGCTTACATGTTAGAAAGCAGAACCATGCGTTAAGCAAAAGAACAGACTGGTCCTTAGGAGGGAGGGAAAGAAAACGTTTCTCGAACAGAGGGTCTCGTCGGGGGTGGGGGGGAGAGTGTTGCTGGAAATGCATTTGGCTGCGTCCACTCCCTCTTAACTTGGTGGTGTTCCTAACAGAGACCTCTCCTCCACCCGCCAAGTTCTCCCTAGGCTTGTCTCGGGGATCCAAGGCGCTATCGGTAAAGCGCTTGGTATGCAGCGGGCACTTGTCTCCTAACTTCCTTCCCTCCACGGGGCCGTTTCCCCAAGGAGCTCCAGGCGTCCCTCCGCGAAGGGGGAAGGTGGTACGTGCTCCTCCCGCCCCCCCCACCCCGTTTATTTGAACTTGCCTCCGTTTGGAGGAGTCGGGGGGGGTCCTCCCAGCGCCGCCGCCCAGCCCCGCGCCGCCGCCCGCCCCGCTCGCACTCACCGTCGCTCTCCGCCCTGACAAGCAGGGACATGCCCTTCAGCCTCTCCACGTAGCCCGAGGTCACATGCCCGGTGCCCCGGTCGTCCCACTGCCGGTCCTCGTTGAGCGTGTAGACCTTCACCCGTCTCCGGGTGTCAGTCATCCTGCCGCCCCCCCCCGCAGCCACCGCCCGGGGAGGGGGTGAGGGGTGAGGGTGGGGGAGACGCCCCGCGGGCCCCAGGAGGGGGAGGGGAGGCGGGAGGCCCGGACCGACGGGGCCCTCTCCGTTCAACGCCGCGCACCGCGGCCTCCCTGCAGGGGGCCTTCACTCCTACGCGCGGTGGCCTTCTCCCTCATGTCACGGCCCGGGAAGCTGGGAGCACCACGGGGGCCGGGGGTCTGGTTTGGCCGGCCCCCCTGCAAGCGTTGCCCCGGTGCTCCTGCGCGGATCTATTGTCCAGGCCCAGCTGCCCACCACGGGGAAAGGAGGAGGGATGGCCTCCACGGGGCGCCAGGCGCAGGTCACTGCCCTTCCCCCGCCTCCGCCATGCCCTTCCTTCGCCAAGCCGCTTCCAGCCGCCGCCGCCTCAGGCCGCCGCCATGTTCTCCTTCCTCATACCCGGGCCCCGTCGCCGCGGCCGCCCCCGGCGGCTCCGCTGCTCCCCTGCGCTCTCTGGGTCTCGAGCGTGTCCGCCCCCGGCCTGAGCCCCTGCGCCCGCCGCTTCTCCAGAGTCGGCGAGGGCCCCCCCGGTCGTACCTGGGGCGCCCTTCCTAACGCCAGGTCCCCTCTCGGCCGCCGCCGCCGCCGCTTCTTCCTCCTCCCTCACAGAGCTGAAGCAGCCGCCATCTTGGTTCATCCCTCAATAGAGGCGCGCGGGGTCTTCTACCTCACAGCTGCAGGGGCCGCGCCGAGGCCACTCCATTTAAAGGTACAGGCGCCTCAGCTGGTGGCGCTGGTCGGATAGGGAAGTCAGAAGGAGGGGTGGGTAGGGGAAGGAGGAGGGCGGGACTGGAGTTTCCAAGGCTAGACCGGAAGCAAGCCCGGCAGCTCAGGGGATGCAAGAGGGGCCTCGTCGCCCTAGTGACGGCCCAGGACTTCCTAGAGATTCCTTGCGCACGCGGGTGCGCTAAGCCAAGGGACCGTCTGCGCCGAGCCGCCTCCCGTCGCTCCCTGCCTTCGTCATCAGCCTGGCAGATGAATTTCAAACTCTTGTTCAGAGCCCGCCCAAGCTTCGCCCGGCAGCGGCTCTGCGCAGACTCCACCCACGTGCGTTCGCGGGCTGAAGCTCCGGGCGGTTCTGGAGCCTCCGCCGAGGACCACCTCCCTCCCCACTTTCTGCAAATAACGTCCTGACTCCCTGCCCCCACCCGGCCACGTTTTTTCTGCTCTGAGGTGCTTTTGCCCCGCTGCTGTTTTGTTTTCCCTGAGCTCTAAAGCTCTTAGCGTGCTTGGGCCGGTCCTTTCTCCTAAGCCTCAGGTAGTTTGTGAGACCCTTCTCCCAATGATGGGCCGCTTGAGGAGCAGGTGACCCAGGAAATGAAATCTGATCTCTGCCTCTCTGTCTCTGCCTGCCTGTCTCTTCCCCCTTTCTCAATAAACAAACGAATAATAAAAGCAGAATTCTGATTTCTATCTTTCAGAGCTCGATAAAGAGCAGAGCAATGAATCACTAAGTAACCCTGAATGGTGATCTCTTTCCTCAAAACTCCAGAATCTCACTGGATTTGTAGCTTTTCCAGTATACTTGCCACATTTTAATTTTTATAATATCTGTGTGCCTGCCTGGACAGGGAGAGTGGTGTGGTGAAATAAAGTCTAGGTTGGGAGCTCAGACACCTAGCTAGGATTTAGTTCCAGCTTTGCCATGTGATCATTTAGGTTGGCCGTTTCACCTCCTGGGGCTTCAGTGCCCTTATTTAGAAAATGGTGTTAGACTAGATTATTTCTAAGGCAGAGGTTAACTTTTTTTTTCCTGACACGGATCCTTTTTGGCTCTCCGGTAAAGCCTGTGGACCCCTTCTCAAAATGTTTTTAAATAAATAAAATATATAGTATTACAAAGGAAACTACATTTGAAATGCAGACATCAAAATACTGAGGTATTTGCTTTTTAAGTTCATAGACCTTAGATTAAGAACTCCTGTCTAAAACCCCTTTCAGCTCTATCTATACACACACCAGCCTATCTTTCTCAGATTTTAAAATTCTTCCCGGGAATTTATGGGGTTATGTCTCAACCTTCCTTGTGCCTCCCCTCCCCAGCGTCTACCCCTGCTTTTTTTTTTTACTTCACCTGAAGCATGCTATATTCTACTCCAGCCTTTTACCTTTACCCTGTTTCCCTCTGTTTCAGTGTATTTCCTGTAAACAATATATAGTAGGATTATGGTTTTTAATCCATTCTGCTATCTGCTTCCCTTAGGGGACAGTTCATCCCATTCACGATCAGAGTTATGATTACTATCTGGGTCTTTCTCTTCATCTTATTTCACCCCTGTTTATGCTTTTCTTTCTCCTTTCTCCCTTTTCCTCCTCACTCGTGTTTTGGTTTTCACCACCACCTCCTCCCTTTTCTTTCCCCTTTCCCCTTATTACTTCTTCTCTCCCTTCTATCCTCCTTCCCTTTTTTCCCCCCTTTTCCCTCCTATTGCCTATAAAGTAGGTTAGATTATGTTATTCCCTCCTTGAGCCAAATCTGATGAGAGTAAGGTTCAATGTTCATCTCCCTCCCTACTTTCCCTCTGCTGTAACAGGTTTTTGTGCCTTTTCCTATAGGTAATTTACCCTTGTCTGCCTGCTCCTTTCCTTTTCTCCCAGTCCCTTCCTTTAGTTAGATCAGATTAATCTATTTACTTTAATCCATTTAACCCACTTGATTAGATTTTTTTTTATCATTACATCAAAGAAAACTTACACCTACTCCCTCTATGTAAACCCCTTTAAAACGGTATAATAACAATACTGTTCTCAAGAGTTACAAGTGTCATCCTCCCTTATACAGTTTGCCCTTATTAATAAGGTTGTTTTTTTCTGTCCCATTTACCTTGTTATGTCTCTCTTGAGTCTTGTATTTGAAGATCAGATTTTCTGTTGAGCTCTGGTCTTTTTATCAGGAAGGTTTGGATGTTCCCTCTTTTGTTAAATGTCCGTCACCTCCCCTGAGAGATCATGGTCATTTTTGCTGAGTAGTTGATCCTTGGTTGTAATCCAAGCTCCTTTGCCTTACAGATTATCATATTCTACACCCTATGATCTTTTAATGTAGAAGCTGCAAGGTCCCATGTAATCCTGACTATGGTTCCATGATATTTAAATTGTTTCTTTCTGGCTGCTTGCAGTATTTTCTCTTTGACCTGGTAATTTTGGAATTTGGCTACTATATTCCTTGCCATTTTCAATTTGGGATCTCTTTCAGGAGGTGATCAGTGGATTCTTTCTATGGCTGTTTTACCCTCTGGTTCTAGGACTTCAGGGCAGTTTTCCTTGATTATTTCCTGAAAGATACTGCCCAGGCTCTTTTTTTCATCGTGATTTTCAGGTAGACCAGTAATATTTAAATTGTTTCTCCTGGATCTATTTTCCAGGTCAGTTGTTTTACCAATGAGATATTTTGCGTTTTCATCTATTTTTTCATTCTTTTGTTTCTGTTTGACTGATTCTTGCTCTCTCATAGAGTCATTAGCTTCCATTTGCCCAATTCTAATTTTTAACAAATTGTTTTCTTCTATTAGATTTTGTACCTCCTTTTCCATTTGGCCCATTTTATTTTTTAAGGAATTCTTGTCCTCGGTGAGTTTTTGTGTCTCCTTTTCTGTTTGGCCAATTCTGCTTTTTAAGGAGTTGTTTTCTTCAGTGTACTTTTTTTCCATTTAGTCAATTGTATTTTTTAAGGACTTGTTTTCTACAGTTAATTTTTGTCCTTCCTTTTCCAAGCTATTGACTCTCTCTTGCATACCTCTCATTTCTTTTCCCAATTTTTCTTCTACCTCTCTTATTTGACTTTTAAAATCCTTCTTGAGCTCTTCCAAAAATGCTTTTTGGGCTTCAGACCAGTTTGTATTCCCTTTTGAGATTCCAGATGTGGGTTTATTGACAATATTGTCCTCTTCAGAATTTCTGCCTTGATCTTCACTGTTCCCATAATAAGAATCTATAGTATATTTCTTTTTGCTCATGGTGTTTGCTTATTTCCTGACCTTTAAAGAGATTGAGCTCTCCTGCTGGGGAGCAGGGGGCACTGATCCAAGCTTCTTGTGCTGGGAGCCCAGGGCCTGGTCCCTGGCTTTGTGTGCTGGGGCCTCTGATGCTGGTAGTTGGAAGCTATAGTGTTCTGGCAGGTTACCTGGTGTTGGGCTGGAATCAGCAACACTGGAACTCTAGGGGTAGGATTAGGTAGTCTGGCCCCTGAATGTCACCCTAGGAAAAGCCCTAGAATACCTGAACAGAACAAAGACAGGGTGCAGCAGTCTGGTAGCCCAGGTAGCTGGTTTCCACTGGTTCCCCTGCCCGTACTGAGGTACTCGGGAGTTCTGGTGTTGGTGTTTGCCTGCTCCACCACCCTGGGGTTCATGATCTCCTCCTGGTATGCTGAGGTGGGGCTTTCCACTAGCTTGCTGAGATGTCTCCTGTTCTGTATTGCTCCCCTTGCCCCAGGGTAAGAGGGACCTCTCCTGTTTAATCCCTCAAGCTACCTGGACTACTGGACTGCTTCATTCTGTCTTTCTTCTCGTTCAGAGGTTCCAGGGTTTTTCCTGGGGCTATATTTTCTGGGCTTTCAGAGGTTAATAAGGCAAGATAAGAGTGACTTACTTCTTACCCATCCCCAGCCTCTAGCACACAATGCCTTCCCCAAAGTGAGTGATAATGAATGCTTGCTGAACCAAACTGAAGTGTGCTTCATAGGGGAACAAAGACCAGAGTAAACCCCAAACTAGGTACTCAGTTTCAACATAAGAATCAATTTATTTGTCTGTTCTACCACTTCCTTTCCTATTGTTACACTTTGAATGAGGCCTTCTGTTTCAGTTTCCTCCTCTAGAAAATGAAGTTAATACTAGCACATACCTCCCAGGGCTGTTGTGAGGATAAGATGAGATAATATGTGTACAGTATTTTGTGAACCTTAAAGAGCCATATAAATGTCAGTTATTGTTATTATCTCAATCCTTTTTATTCTCACTGGCTCTTCATTGAACTTCTCACATGCTGTCCCAAACCTTCCATCCTCAGTCACTGATTGCCTCCTCCCTCCCAGTAGGATGTCTCACCTCCTACTTCACTGAGAAAACAGAAGATAGCTATAGTGAGTGCCTTTATTCTCTCCTAGCTTTACCTAGAAACTCCTCTATATTTTATTTCCCACTTCCCTCCCTTTTCTCCAGTTTCTAAGAAGTGTCTTCACTTTGCCAAAATCAACCTCTTTTCTTTGGTCCTTGATCAAATCCCCAAAGAACTTTGATCAACCTCTTCTTTCTCCTGGCTTATTCCCTGATGCTTATAAATATGGTCAGACTTCTTCATCCTTAAAAATCCTTCACTTTTCCCTGATGTCTGTTCTCCTTTTCACAGCCAAGCGTCTAGAGAAAAAGCCTTCTGTACCCATTGCCTCCACTACCTTACTCCTCACTGATTTCTCAATCCTTTCAATATTATCTCTGATTACTACTTCTGGATTAAAACTGACTTCATAGATACCAACTGCCAGTTTCTCAATTCTCATCCTTCTTGACCTTTCTTCAGCTTTTGACACTGTTGATCACCCCCTTCTTCCATGTAACTCTGTCCTCCTTCAGTTTTCATCACAGTACTTTCTCCTGGTTATCCTACTACTTGGCTGATTTTTCTTCTCAATTTTCCTGATTGAATCTTTATTCATATTATGGTCCCAACTTGTGTCTTCCAAGGTTATGTCCTAGATCCTCTTCTCTG